TCATTATGAAGAAAATTCAGAAAAATGGGAAGAAAGACTCACCCATAATCCTACCACCTTAAGGTAGATAATCACTTTTTATTAACATTCAGCTGCATCTCCATCCAGTTTCTTTTTTTTTTTTTTTTTTGCTTAGTTGAGGTCATAGTATGTGAACAATTTTATAGCTTGCCTTTTATCCTTAACATTTAACAAAATACAGATAAATAAGGCTTTTAAATTTTTATTTTGGGGTTTAAGTGTTTACTTAGTGAAACAGAAAGTGGAATGTTTGTAGGATTTCTTTGAAGATACTTTCACCCTAGTGACTTAATTTCCATGACTACAGCTTATGTAACTTTACTTCATAGGAATACCACTCTGTGCCCAAATAGAAGCACTGTCATCTTAAAGTGCAATGTCTGTTTTCCACTCAGAGTAAGCCATAGTAGTGGTAGCAGAGCTGCACCAAAGTAGGCACAGGAGCTTGGGTGGGAGATGGTTAGCAGAGCCCCAGAGCTTTACTAGTTGTTGTCTGTGCTATGCACCCATCTTGATGGCCAGCTCCAAGTTTTTTAAAACTTGTCTTTTTAAGGTCCTAGCTTTACTTGAATCTCATTTCTTATTAAGGAAATGACCCCAAGAGATAAAAAACTACTGAACTAGAACATATAGGCCACCTGCAAACTTAAGGAAATAGAAGATCAAATACTCTGACAAATTCATGATAATTTCAAATAGAGGGGGGAAAAAAACATGATACCACCCTTGGAGATAAGGGATTGCATGCATTTGGGCTCCAAATTACAAGGATCCAGCCACTGCATTTTAAAATGAAAGCCTTCAGATTTGGGAACCAGCCCGAATAAAAGGAAAAACCCTCCTCTCTATAAAAAGGTAGAATTAGAAGGATGTGGTGTTGTATGTCTGTGGTCTCAGGAACTCAGGAGCTGAAGCAAAAAGATCGCTTAAGCCCAGGAGTTTGAAGTTGCAGTGAGCTATGATGATATCACTGTACTCTAACCAAGGCAAAAGAGCAAGACTCTAGCTCCAAAAAAAATTTAAAAAGGAAGCATTCAGTTCCACCAGTATTTATTGAAAATGATTTTTAATTTATAGAAAAAATAATTGGACTTTATAGGAAAATGAATAATAAATCTTAACCCTTCTAGGTGCTTTTACTCTGGTAGAAGAAGATGTATAAGATGTGTAAGATGTATATACAAGTTATAGTATAGGCAAAAGTTAATAAATATAAAAGCAAGGAAAAAGAAAACACTAGCAGGCTTGGCACCTGTGGCTCAAGGGGCTAAGGCGCCAGCCACATACACCTGAGCTGGTGGGTTCAAATCCAGCCTGGGCCTGCCAAACAACAATGATGGCTGCAACAAAAAAAATAGCCAGGCATTGTGGCGGGCGCCTGTGGTCCCAGCTACTTGGGAGGCGGTGGCAGGAGAATCACTGGAGCCCAAGAGTTGGAGGTTGCTGTGACCTGTGATGCCACAGCACTCTACCCAGGGTGACAACCTGAGGCTTTGTCTCAAGAAAAAGAAAACAGTAGCAGAAGGCAGAAGAATGCATCATGCAGGAAATAGAGATAAGAAACAACGTGGGTTGTAGAGATAGGTCAAACAGTTAAAAGAGCCTGTATGAACATATACCACAGAGAATTTAGAGGCACATTCAAGAGATTATGAATAGCCTGTATTCAGTTTTGTTATTTCTTTTTTTAAATAGCTCTGGAGATGCAAATGAATATAAAGAAGAAAATAAAAATTGTCCAGAATTCCATTACCCAGAGAAAAAGTTCTGTGAATATTATGTATTTTCTTCTATTCATCTTTCTATGCATATGATTAGATTAGAATAGAACAGATTCATGATGCTGGTTCAGCTATCCTTGACTCCCAGAGAGATGTTGCTGATGTTTTTAATTCTGCACTCATATGCAGTGTACTGTACATGTTCATGAACAATCAGTGACAGATGCCGTTTTCCTTTTATAAGTTCAAGGCAACAATCTCTGTTGAGCCTATGTAAGTCAGGCCACGGGCTTGTGGCTGCCTGACACTCGGCATTGTATTCATGGGTGGATCCAAATGAAGGCTGTGTGGCCCCTAGAGGGAGGTAATCCTGAATTCATTTTCTATTGGTCTGTTGGCGAACCAACATTAAATAGCTGGGTGGTTCTGTGTACATTTTCTGTAAGGTAGTGATTGCTGCTTTAAAAAAAAAAAAAGTTTCATTCTGCTGCCCTGGGTAGAGTGCCATGACATCATCATAGCTCACAGCAACCTCAATCTCTTGGGCTTAAATGATCCTCTTGCCTCAGACTTTCAAGTAGTTGGGACTACAAGTGCCTGCCACAATGCCTAGCTAGTTTTTTCTACTTTTAGTAGAGACAGGGTCTCACTCTTGCTCAGGCTAGTCTTGAACTCCTGAGCTCAAGCATCCATCCTCAGCCTCCCAGAGTGCTAGGCTTACAGGTGCAAGCATGATTACTTCCTGATTTTAAGTACTACTTTCTGTCCAAAAAGGGAAATTTCTTTATTCTCAGATTTAATGATTATTTTAAAATTCAAATGGTAGAAATAAGAATGAAATAAAAATTACCTGAAATTCAGAGATAAAATACTTTATCTCAATGTTTTCTTTTTTTTTTTCTCTGCATTGGTATTTTGTGTCCTACTCTAAAAATTATGATCATCTTTCTGTATCAGTAAACACCAATTAGCTATTTACGTTTTCATTAAACTGCTAAAAAGTTCTTCAGCTATTTACTCTCCCACCAATAGTTTTGCCAGAATGGATATAATTAGTCTAATTAGGGAGGATAGATTTTATTGACATGTAACAGATAGAAAAGTACTCAAGTAATAATTTTAATGAACTTCTAAGATACAAACATTCTTGAAAATCCTGCATCCAGATCAAGAAACATAACATTACCAGCCCCCTAAAAGCCACCCACAGGCCCTCTTCAGTCACTACTTCCCTAAGGGTAACACTATCTGTCTAGTTTGTAGTCTTTACTAATATGGTGACTAAAAAATATCTTGTTTTTGGTGCTGGTTACTTTTCTGAAGTTACTACTCAGAATTTTTTTTTTTTTTTTTTTT